CACCCAACGAATCAATCATTCAGTCAATCATTCAATCAATCAATCAATCAATCAATCAATCAATCTTATACTTCACTCCAATCAATTAATAATTCTGACAAATGGTCAATCATTCCAAATGCCAGATCCGCCACCTCTCAATGATTTTGTCAATCAATCAATCATTCGGTCACTCAATCACCTGTTCGTTCGGTCTATCAATCAATCTATTAATCTATTAATTGAACGAATCATTCATTCATTCAATCACTCACTCACTCACTCAATCAATCAATCAATCAAACAATCAGCATATATACCGTATAGACTGTAACGAACGGAAGTATGTACAAATCGTATTGATAAACTTCCAAACAACATAATTACGACATCGAAAGGATATAAGGTCCCTAAAACATCCGTCTTCACACACACACACACACACATGTTGGCTCGCGATGTGCAGAAGTGCGCGACAATGAAGTGTGCAGCGCAAAACATAGCGGACTGCAATTTTCGAGGGAGGTTGGCGACGGTTGATAAGAGTTTGCGCAAAGTCAACGAATCTATGGAGGCAGTTGCCACAAGTGTGCGTGACGCCAAGGCAACACTTGTTGTACTGCGAAACGTAGATACGATTGCTAAGAATCGCGAAAAAAATAAACGAGATTCCTTGCTTCCGTTTTCTGGTTTCCAAGAGCGTGCTCGAGCTCACAGACCGAACTACAGGGGGATAATGATTTACCACCACGAATACAGTGATGGCTTACGAGGTGATGTGAACAGTGGACCGAATGAGAAAAAAAATGAGCTACGAAACAATACCGAAAAAGACAAACCACGAGACGTCACTACATGCGAAAAGGCTCCACAACCCAAATGCATTTGGACATGCAGGAAGGAAAAAAAACAGAGAGTTGCTCAAGGGACATGAATGTTATAAGTGCACACGTTTTCGTGACGTGTTGGGTGTGCATAGAAAAGACCGGCACGATATTGTGCAAGAATGTTCACGACACAAGGATAACCAACGGAGACCGTCAACACCGCCTGCTTTTTGGAAAATAGACTTCTCTGATTCGGAAGAGTCGGGTGAGTGAAACAGTGTGCATGTTCACATACATAACACTGTATGTACACATGTGAAGTTTCATAAGCGCATGTTTCATAAAAGAGATAGATAGATAGATAGAGAGATAGAGAGAGAGAGACAGACAGACAGACAGACATAAAGAGAGAGAGAGAGAGAGAGAGGTAATCCGTAACATTGTGTCACGTGATGTATTTTATTCGTGCAGCCACTACGAAGTCTCAACAAATTGTCGAGAATACTGGAGTTCAGTGTGTACAGACATGTCGAAGGAGAAACTTTTGAGCGACGTAAGAGTCGTTATTCAAGATATCGTCAACAATCTTGAAGCGGCTAGCAAACGCTTGCATGCAGCCGAGGAAGTCATTCGGAGCACAACTGCTGATTTGCAAGCAATGCGACAAGAGATTGACTTGCACGAACGGCGTCTGCAAGATAGGGAAAATGAACTCCAACACTACAAAACCCGAGCTGCTAATGCAAATAGGTCATGTGCAGACGGTTGATATATGAAAAAGACAATGTCCGGCACGGGGAATCTGAGGTGCAACAGTGAGGATCGTTGCCCTGTATGTGGTCGCCACCCAACTGGGAGCACAACAAAGGCTTCGACGTCTTGGGAAACCTTATGTCACAGGAATGTTTCGTCGACTAACACGTCAAACCGTTCAATGACATAAAAAAAGACATTGTCGTTTACTAACCTTTGATCCGTCGTTTATCCTACGCATTGTGTGTGTGTCATATGTGCGTTGTCGTCGCACAGCAGTCGGGACAGGTAGTCATTGCTAGGTTCACTTATTCGACGAAGCAGCGCAACATGGCCGATGTAGTGGTCATTGTGAAAGAGGTCGTGGATGGGAAGGAAATCGTAGTGAGAGAGACACTCATTAAGCGCGATACTGAGAACGAAAGGGACTTTGTGTACTGGGAAGGGGTGGTCGCCGCGATGTACACATACTATGGCACGGTTGCTCGGGACGGCGTATAGCACCTTCTCGTGTCTGGGCTCTATCTTGTATATAATAGCGAGGATTTTTCAGCTATGTTTTTTCCTTGCTGTGGGATGTGGCACTGACTACCAAGCCATTTATGTGTTATGTTCCTTCCTTGTTGTAAGGATTCCCCGTTGGTTTCAATGATTGTGCGGTGGAGGAAAAACTTGATATATGTACATATGCAATGGTCAGTACGCATGAGTCGTTTTTATTTCATATTTCTGCGGCATTCTGTTATTGTGTGTTGTGCGTGGTGAGGAGGCACACTTCTAAGGTAATCGTTGCACGCAATGTTTTGTTTTTTAGATTTATCGAAAAATAAAACATAAGCGACATAATAATCTTCACCCTTTCCCTGATATGGACCGCTGACGACGCATGGCAGGCGTGTGGGCTGACGCAGTTGTGTATGACAATGGTACGGATATTGATCGATTCCGAGACGAGGAGTTGACAGTCGACAAGATTAGGAGTCGGTGACCGGCGGCCGCTGCGCTTTTGGAAGAGGCAGTGGTTTATGTCGGGCTATTGGACGAGCTGCAACAATGCATTAATTTGCTTATCGACCGTGCAAATCTCCAAACAAAGCAAAATCGTTACAATGGATATGTTGTTTTTTCTCGTATGTGTGGGTTCGTCGTCTTCAGATAGAAATTGTCAGATGAGTTCGAGACGACAATGTGGGAATGATGGCCAGATACAGTGAATCGAGGTGCGATCCTTCAGAGAACGAGCGGCCACGTCGACGTGCACGGCAGTAGATGCATCAAGCGCTATACGGTTTTCCTCAAAATTGCAGTGTCAAGAAAAGGATGAGTGTGTGTGTGTGTGTGTGTGTGTGTGTGTGTATGTGTGTGTGTGTGTGTGTCAGTATGTGTGTGTCAATATGTGTGTGAATTCGACTGTGTGTGTGTGTGTGT